TTCTTTATTTGGACCCCTATGGTTTGTAATTGGTTACCCCTGATCTATTGGTTTCTGGCGAATTCCCAAATATCACGACATTCATCTATCTTGTAAGGTAACCATTAGAGTATTTTGGTACAGACAATATTTAATATTAGGCATATATTTAAAAAGTTCTTTACTTCACACATTAAAGACTAGCTTTAGCCGCTGCTACCAGGAGTATCTCATAACTGCAGTAACCAAGCTGTGTGCCTGTAGAACTGTCTCACTGTTGGATCACAGTTTTTATCTCATCTGCAGGGCTGCAAGTGTCTCTGGTTCACTTAATACATCTAACCATGAACTATTACCCGTTACTTTAGGCTTTGTTTCTATGCCCCTATGGAAAAACTGTCTATTAAACCATATGAGGCCTTTTCTGCTGTGCTCGGCGCTGCCTGATCTTAGGGGTTTTTACCTTTCCACGGAGGCCAGCACCCTGCGGTAGGAGTCCTCCTGGTGACTGGGAGGCAGCAGCAGGGCGGCCATGCCTCCTGTGGCCAGCGCTCCACGTCGGTGACACGTCTGGACCAGCAGGTCCATGTAGCTGCGCAGAAAACGCTTCTCCATGTTGACGTACTTGCTGCGGTCTGGCAGCAGGAAGTCCTGCCGGTGACCTGGAAGAGGTGGCATCTGTAGAGCAGTGGCTCCTTCTGAAATTGGGCCTGCTGAAGCAGCGGGAACCGCGTCTGTCTCACCAAACTTATTGACAAAGGAGGCAGAGTAGTCCCAGATGCCACAGTTGAGCCCTGCTGAGTGTTCCCGCAGCTCGTAGAGGATCTCCTCCATTTCAAATGTTGCCAAGACGTTTTCTATCAGCACCGTCGCCTTTATGCAGCCCAGCGGGAGGCCAAGCTGCACACAGAGAACATCTCATTCACACACATCTCTCAACACCTCAAAGGAACCAAAGAACTTTCCTGTGGGACTCCTAAAGTAATTCAGATCATTTGGATATCAACCTTCTGATGTGCCACTAAATGCTCAGCCAGGTCTGTTGGCACTGAGGAAGAAAAGGCTGCGTGTTTCCTGGCGGGGTCGCCTTTTACAATTGCCTTTTCTGTAATGGTTTCTGCACTGATTCTGGCCTGATCACCCAGTCCACACACCTGCTCTGCTCCACCCGCCTGCAATCAGCTCTGACTGGAGTCACCTGTTTCCAGCACTTTAAAATACCCATCAGATCAGTCCTCTGTGCCAGATTATCTCGAGCCAACCCGCTACGAATAGTCCAGCATCTAAAGAGTACCTGCCCGCCTATCTGTTTCTGACCCGATCTGCCCCCTGACTCCGAGCCTACCTGACCCCTGTTTGATTCTGCCTGCCTGCTCCCCTCTCTCTGGATCTCTGACTCTGAAAAGCTCCGCTAAACTGCCTGCCTCTCCGTCCTGGATAAAACTGGTAAACCTCCCTCAATCTGCCCGCTTGTCTACCTGCAGCCTGTTTGCCCACACAGATTCAGCCCCGCTTTCAGATTAACCCTTTCAATAAACCCATCAAAACGTCACTAATCTGTCTGGGATTTTTTGGATCCAGTCTCTGTCTCCTTACACTTTTCTATCTATGCTTCTTTTTCTATGTCTGCTTCTGTCTCCTTGAACCCCAGT